GCGAAGGTAGGAATCCTCTTCCAAGATCCAAAGCCAGCAACTTACATGGCACCGAGATACGTTTAAATGAAAGTCACAACAGGACGTCTAAACACACTTCCGAGGGAAAATGTTATGCTTGCTTTTTTCTACAGTCAGTATCTCGATCAGTACAGCGTCTGGTTGGTTAAAAGTATGAATTTGGGGGGCTCAGAGCTCGAAATTCCAAATACTACTAAGAACAACTTATGTACTTTGCTTTAAGGATGAGAAAATTGAAGAATAATGTATTTAGTATGCTATACTGAAGTGTTGCATTGATGTGAAACAAGCTGCATATAGACCTGGTGCTTGTGAAGTACAGATAAATTTTACCATTGTCATATTTTACAAAATACTTTTTATATGGTGTATTTTGCTTTCCTGATAATTTTGTTTATACTACCAAATTTTCACTGGAAACAGCTAAATTTTTTTATACATTAAAAGTTTTAGCTGACTTTAATATTGAAATTTTACTTCTCTTTTCAGTATCAGGTTGGGCAACTTTATTCTGTGGCAGAAGCTAGCAAAAATGAAACAGGAGGTGGTGAAGGAATTCAAGTCTTAAAAAATGAGCCTTATGAAAAGGATGGTGAGAAGGGACAATATACTCACAAAATCTATCATTTAAAGAGGTGAGAAAAACAGCAATACATATTATGGTCACTTGGTGTTGAGCGAGAAATGTTTAAAAGTGAGGGCAGCCTTCCATTGTTTACTGTTCTGAGGTATTTGTGGTTTTCTGCCATTCTTTAATTTGCTGAATTGGGCATGAATGCCCTGGTGAGTGGGAAAACCTGCGAAATACAGTGAATTTGAAATATGTGGGGTAGAGTAGTGGCGAACCACGCAAAATGTCAGATCTGTGAATAGGTAAATGCATCTCTAAGTAGAAATAATTTGATTTCTTAGAATACAGCCAAAACGATGGGTTGGTATTGTAGGTGCTTTGTAGGATAGCCCAAAGGACAGGAATGTTGATGGAGGAGGACAGAGAAAAGGAGAACAGTTATTGCATTATAAAGGAAGGATGCTTTTCTGTGATCTGGTATTTAAGGAGGAGTTCTTAGTGCCCGAATGCTCTTTAAAAACACTCTAAAAGGCATCACGCAAGTTCTTGTGGTGTGCTGGGTAATATTGTTCTGAGAGAGAATGAGTAAGGTAAAGAATGTTTTCAGAAGTTACGTGCATTGCAGAGTGGGTAGAACCTGGGTTATTTGGAAAACTGACCCCAATGGGCTCTGAACCTCTAGGGATTAATGGTCAATGATATTCCAGAGGGCTGCAATACCATAAAGGCAGCCATGTTGTTAAATTTGTAATGTGTTGTCAGGTTGTGAGGATTAGTATTCCAAATGTTCATAATTGGGGATAAAAGATCTAAAAAGTTGAAGAACTGAATACGTTTGCAGTTGGCTGCAGTTTTCCTTTTTGGGCAATTAAGTGGTTGAGTGGCCTTCCACCCAGGCCAGCCACATTACAGGCTTGCTTACTGATGAACCCGCAGTTCTGCTGGAGAGTTTGGAGGTAGGATCTCTTGGGCTGTGCCCTCCCGCAACAGCTCTATTTGCTGTTCTTGAAGAGAAAAGAAAGCACAGCTTTAATCGTGATCATAGGGCTTCAAAATTATTTCTAGCTCACACTCAATTGTCTTATTACCTTCCCATTTTTTTTTCTTAGTTATTTTTGTGATGGGTAACTTTGTTGGACTTCCTGCATACTTAACTGTGGATAACTTCTACATCATAACCTTTAAAGTGCTTGTGTAGAATGTGCCTTTCTTATTCGAGTGGAAGAAATCAATGAGGAATTTCAGCTGGCAAAAATTTTAACAATGTTGTCAATGTTTGTTTTTCACAGTAAAGTTCCTGGTTTTGTAAGGATGATTGCCCCAGAAGGCTCCCTAGTGTTCCACGAGAAGGCTTGGAACGCGTATCCCTACTGTAGAACAAGTAGGTCTCTGTTGAATGTTTTCCTGTCAGTGATCAGTTGAGGGCTGGTCTTAAATGGCTTAGGAGAAAAGAGGGTGCCATCAAGTGGAAAATACATTTCAAATGTTAATGTTGTGTTTGTGAGATCTCCTCCTCTGGAAAGAAGAGCTGCTTCTGAAGAGCAACCTCGATGGACTGGTTTACTGGTTCCTACCGAGTCTTAGTATCCAGGGCCCCTAGGATAAGACTTGAAGAGGTGATTCTCTTAAGATCTGGAACAGAACCTCTTTGAAAAGAATTTAATTCTTTATAGCGTGTTAGAATAAGGTCACTGCTTTATTTTAATACTTTTAATTGCGTAAGTTCGAAGAGTAGGCTCTATTTCTTTTGTGCTTCTGTTGAATAGTTTGAAGTATCTTATCATGAACTTCTAAGGTTAAGGCTAGCAAGTCCAAGTCTGCTGAACTCTGCTGACTTGACGCACACAAATGCTGCTAGACTGATTTTTAATGTTTCGTATACTGTAAAGCAGTCATTGTACATGAGACTTTTCAGAAACGATTGTATCTAATAATGCTTTGTGTTTCCTTTTTCTTTCATTGCGTGTGTTTCCAATGGCCAGTTGTGACAGTGAGTATTTTAATCAGTCCTATGTTGGGTTTTTTTAAATGTTTTTTGTCTGTTATTACTGCTAAAACTGACTGACTCCAGCAAGCTAGCTCTGACCTTTTATATACGCCTTGCCAGGGTTCCTGGCATAGAGCTCCAAGTTACTTTATTTGCCTGCTCTTGGCTTTGGTTAGAAAGAGCTATAATTTGTCCGAGAAATGCTTTCATTTTTTGCATCTTCTTTTCTGCCTTTACTTACCATTGTAGCTGCATAATATCTGTCCTGTTAAGACATCATGCTAAAAAAAAAAAAAAAAGCCAAATCGGAGGTTTCTACAGTCCTGAATGCAGGAAGAGAAATGAAATAAAATCTGTCCCTAATTTTCTGAAATCCCATTTCTGTAAACTGAAATCCTGCCTCAGCTGAAAGGGATTAACTGACAGTCTAAATGGATCATCATAGCTGGGGATTGGGGAGTTGTTTTTTATTTAAGATATGTGGGAAAGAGATCGTTGGGACTTTATTTGCCGATGTATACTTGGTGAACTGTTTAAGGAAGCTTGTAAGTTTAACATTAAATTGCATTACCTGCTCGCTTGCAAGCTTGATGTAGATTGTCACTAGGTGGATGCAACATGAGGAGTAACAAATGAGTTTGTGAGCTGTTCAGCTTGACTCGTCATGACGGATGTGAACACTCGTGTTTGCTTTCTTCTGACATTAGAATTGTTCTGTGCTAGTCTTTAGACGTACAATTTAGTGGTAGCTGGACCTTAACAATCGCAGTTGTGCTATACAAGAACATCTAATATTTATTGGCTATTACCTCTGCTCACTAGAATAGTCTCATTTATTAAAAAAATTTGTGCAAATGTATTTTAGCTGTTTTGTCTTAACTGCAGTATTAATAATTTGAAAATTACTTGAGTATAGAGGTAAAAAAATCTCAGAGTTGAGGAAGAAAGATGGTAAATGACAGTATTATTCCTATCTGTGTGCACAAAGTTAGAGCTGGATTTCTCCAACAAGACTGGTTTTAGAACTTGCTGTGATAGCTGATACTTAAGATTTAGGTACGGGTTATCTCCTTGTACCTGTTTCTGTGTGTAGGTAAGAAGGCTGTTGCTTTTATAATTTAAATAGAATGCGTTGCTAGTCAAGGCTTAGTAGTGACTTACATGTAAATACCATTTATCTAACATTTAAGCAGAGAGGTGTAATCAGACTCATGCTTTTTGATTTTAATTCTTACAGAATGAATACATGAAAGATGACTTCTTCATAAAAATTGAGACCTGGCATAAACCAGATCTGGGGACATCAGAGAACGTGAGTTGGGATTTGGATACCAAGCACTAGCAATATTTTCAACACATAGTCATCCAGATAAAGTATTCTACACCTCGTAATGGTGGATAATTACTGCATAAAGTCAAAGCCCTCCCAGTGATTAATGTAAAACAAGAAAAGCATTGTTCAAATCCTTCTGAGGTGGTCAGGCTGTCTCACCTAACGAGACGCAAGCACAAGGAAAGGTTTTTATTTTTTATGTTGAGGTCAGTGCAGGTTTCTTGATTCTCACCCAAATATTTAAATAGCTTTTCAGTAAGTTCTTTTTAATTTCATGCTTTTTTACCTTGGACATGCTACTGCTACTTAGGCTGACGAGTTTGTTTGAGAACAGGTGTCACAAGGCTGTTGGAGTTTACCTGTGTACACATCTGTAGAGTTACGTATTGAAGCTGCTTCTGTAAATTTTCCATGCTGGCGATACTCTCGTTTTCATCCCTGGACAGTTGGTTCTGTTCACAGGTCTCTACAGGAGATTTTTTTTATCTATAGTGACAAACATTTATAAACCATCCACAAAGGAATAGTTGTCAGTATATTTTCAGTGCTTGGATGAAGTGTAGCACTGGATGTGCTACAGAGGAGGAGAGCTTTTCTTGGACAGCTCTGTGTGCTATGATTGTAAGTTTAGGTATGCCTAACAGACTACAGGTGTGAAGCTGATTACATCTCTTACCACACACGCTTCATCTGCTCCGTATGGAGGGCAGCCCTATGATTTAGGGAACCTGCTGGGGTTAGTCAGGTTATTGAAACCTGCCATAATTGCACTTTGGAATTTGTGTGGCTGCTTTCTAGATCACAAAGCTCATGCAGATTACTGAATGGGCGGTGTTTCTAATTAGACTTTGATTTCATTGGCGCTAACGAATGTGACAGAAGAATATAGCTTAATCTTAAATCCGTGTTTCCTGAATGCACAAGAAGTGATGGCGTTGTGCTGGTTTGAAATTGGTTAGTGAGTGAATTAAACTGTAACTGGACGTTATTTCCTTTTAGAAAGCCAGAGGAAGAAAGGATGGGTTTTGAAAACGCTGCTTTTATGAAGTCCAGAAAAAAATCCATGGCACGCATGTACTGCATAAGATGGACCGCTGTGTAAGGTGACAGCATGGAAATCATTCCTTGTTCTCTTTTTGCAGGTGCACAATTTAGATCCAAACACATGGAAGAGTGTTGAAGTTGTCCATATTGACATTGCAGATAGAACTCAAGTAGAACCAGGAGTAAGTAAATTCTCTGCTATTGAGGTATGGATGTAGCTAATTCCATTGATACTTTGTGCTGATTGTGAATAAACTCAAACAGTATGGATTTTACCCAAAATCATTCATTCCAAAGTTCCATGCTTAGTAAATGCATTTACAACCTCAGTCTACTGAATTTGACTTCTAGTTGCACAGCTAAGATGTGAAGGGCAACAGACTTTTGGTACAGGTGTAGTTTTTACTTCTAAGTGTAGATAAAGTAATTGATTTGGTCAAACAAACACTTGTGTGAATCTATCCCAGCTGTCCAGCATGACAGAGCACAGTGCCTCCACCAAGCTACTCCCATGCTTCTACTGCTACTTCTTGGTTACAAATTCTTTAAATTAAATCATGTCCCTCCACACATCTTTCACTCTGAGGTTATGGCAATCTCAAGAGGATCAATCAGGTTTTGTCGTTGAAATCTAGACCTGGGTTTTTTATTTATTTATGTTAATACTTTGTTCATTGGAGTGGTTCTCAAGACATGAACTGCTCAGCTCTTCTGAAAGCTGTGGGATTACTTTATCAGTTGGATAGTAGGAAAATGGTATGCACTAATTGATACTTACCCTTTTGTGTTTACACAATAAATTTGGTTGTCTTGGTTTTGTGCAAGGAGCTGTTCTTTATTCTATTTAATTGTTATTTTCTGAAAATAAATACTTGGATATCCTGCATTGTAGGGAGAGGACTCCTTTGCAGGAAAGTAGAGGAAGGAGGGAAGAGGCTGTGGTGTGTGAAGGGGAAAGGTTTCTGCTTCATACATTTCCGCCTGCATTACCAACGTGGGTATATAACCTGCACTGTTGCTTAACTGCTGTTTAATAGATGATCGGTGAACTTACACGTGCGAAAATACATTGTTTGGAGAACCTCCCTGTAAACCAAATTAAATGTGTCTTGCCTATTTTAATGCAGCAAGGAATCGTTTTGCTGCCCCTTGTTCTTTCAGACATTCCATACGACCTTAGAGCTGAACTGGCAGGTAAATGTATGTTGTGCGTTCCCTATTCCGTGCCTGGAATTGTGGCAGACAGCTACAATGCTGTCATCTGTCAGGGTGCTTGCTTGATCACAGTATGTGTAAACAAAGGGTTGTGTTGATTACTGTGTGTTGAACTTGGGTATTTATTCTGTCTGAAGTACTCCTGGTGAACAGCACTGCTCATGCTGTGCGCCCTCTCGCACTATTACACGGCCGGCCTTTGCTATTGCCTGTTTCCTTTGTACTGAAGGCTGACAGATGGTGGTATGCTAAAAGAAGTTATATGTTTGGCTCAGGACAAAGATCCATCTAACCCAGTATCCTGTTAGTGGTCGTAGCAGATACTTGTGGAAGAATAAGAAACTTGGGGCAGTAGAGGATACTGGAAGCTGGGAAAGGCATATCTCTGAAAGATCAGTCTGTATTTAAAGGACTTGCAGAGCCAGTGCTTGTATCTGCCCTATTGCATGTATTAGCCACTTATGTGCCCATGAGCACATCTAGTTCATTTTTGAACCCATTTATACTTTTGACCATTACGGTATCATGAATTCTGTAGAGTAGTGGATGGTATGGAGCAAAAATATGTCCTTTTTGCCTGACTGATGGTTAAATTAATTAGGGGAGGGGGGGAATGTTTCCTATTTATATTTTCTGTGCAATTTGTCTTACAGATTTTGATCATATTTTCCTTCTCTTCCCCACCTCCTCTTTAGCATATCTTTCCAAGCTGAGGGTCCTTATCTTTAAGTCCATCTTCATGTGGAAGCCATTTCATATGTGGGAATTCTTGGAAGTACTTTCAGTACGTGATCCTCTTTTTTTTTTTTTTTCTTTTTCTTTTGTGTATTCGACCTGCAGAGTATCAAAACTATGAGTGCGGAGTGGTTTAATCTGGAGTCTTAAGTCTCTTCTGGGGTTTCTACATTCTCATTCTTTTTTTAGTAACTTCTAACACCATTTACTTTTTTAGCAAATATTTTCAAATTCAAGCTCGCAGCACAGCCCGTCATTGTGTAGGAATACCTGGGACTAATTTTCACCGTGTGATTCAAATTTTCATTTCCATTTCGTCTCCCAGAAATTCAGTTTTGCAAAGTTCTGACTTTATTAAACAAAGACTGACTTTGTACTCAAACTTTTATGCGAACTTTGATAACTCTGAGTTATCTGCAGGCTGACACCCTTTCCACTCCTCTTGTTTGCCCCCTTTCCTAGGCAGTTAAGGATTAGTAACCAGAAATTCTTTGGGATCCACACTCCTAGTCTCTTCTGTTAGGAAAATTTGGTTTTCTCTCTTTCTTTACTGCTTATGATTCCATGAGACAGCTTTTCCATTTATGCTAATATCTTTATGAAGTTTAGGTAATGGAACTTGAGGAAAATTTTTTTTTTTTTTGGAAGTTCAGCTACATCACGGTAACAGAGCTGCCCTGATGTACGTGCTTGCCTTCAGAGAAGGCTGCTGGTTTGGGAAAGTAAATGTCCACTATGAAAGCATTAGCTGTTTTCCCTGTATTCTGTTTGTCCAGATGTTCTTTTCCTACAGTTTCTTCGCCTCTGTTCAGTGATATTAGAGCAGTCACTAGTTCACTCTGTCAGGTAGTTTCTGAAATCATGTGCGTTGTATGTTTTTTTCTAATGTTATGATGCTTGTTGTTCGGGAATTATAATTCTAAGTGGCTGTGTGGGTTTTTTAGCTGCTAATTTTTTTAGGGAAAAGGTATAGTCAGTGTTGCTGAAGGAAAGTTTTAGTTGTACATTTATTTTCTCAGTCATAGTTTTGCCTGGAAAAGCAACTGAAAAGCACTCTCTTGTATAACAGTATGACTGAAAGAATGGAAATATGCTTATAAGATCCAGCAAATTTGATAAAAGTTTTCATATTCAAGATTTATCCTTGTGTTCAGTGAATGAACCTCGTCCAACCAATTGCAGTGTGGCAGTTAATTTAGTTTCAGAACTACAATCAGTATAAATATAAAAATAGTAAATTTCTTGAAGATGATAATGGCATGCATATGCTAGCTCATGCTCATTTAAGTACGTATAGAAATTTGGCCAACATCTGTGGCTTTCTTTAGATATAAATTTAACCCTGCCCTCTCTTAATCATCTCCAGCGTACAATCTATGCAGCTTTACATGATTTGTATATAAAAATCACTTCCCAGGAGAGTAAAACTTTTTAAAGAGTAAGCAGAAGTGAACACTGAATTAACATCAGAAGAGGCTACATCTTTGGAAAAAATTTGTAAGAAAGTAGAGTGGAGTGCAAAGAAAGAAATTGAAATCAGGTTTATGGCTATTTTGGTACAATGAAGAAATTAAAAGTCTTGTTCTAGGTCATAGTGGATCTTCATTATTACTTGAAACGATGCTTTAAAAATACAATTTTGTCCAGATTAGTCAAATTACTTAACACATACATTAAGTACTAGAGATACAGGATTTCTGTGCCGTGCAGTAAGTACTATCCCTTGTTCTGCAGTTTGAAGTAATATAATGGAATATAGGAAATGCTCTTCTTTTTTCTGATGGGTGGATCTCTCCCATTTTGGACTTAATTTATCATGTGGTGGGATGGCAGGGTTAGGTTAAAGGTTGGACTCAATGATCTTAAAGGTCTTTTCCAACCAAAGTGATTCTATGATTCTATTCTATGATTCTATGTAATAGGTATCTACAAAGTCCCTGTTATTGGTCCAGAAGCTTAGGATCATGCGTTTTATTGTAACACTCAGGGAACATCTTATCTAAGTCATAAGGTTGATTCCTCAGCAAAAGGATTAGAATACACCTCTCAGTTTCTTTTAAAAAAATTACGAACGTTTCTTCTTGAAGCATGAGAAAGCCCTATTGACTTAAACTGGGCTTTTGTTGGACTTGAGTTCTGCGGGGCTGTTCCATTTTAGTGTCCAGGTGAGGCTGGTGTGTGGATGTATGGGCCAGCACTGGTGCTCAGCTGGTGGATGATAACTGGGTAGTTTTGGATCATGTGGTCATATCTATGTTGTTGTTTCTCAAGTCTTGTGAAGCTCCACTGTCACACTGCCTTAGGTGTGTACAAAAATGACTGTGTTGAAGCATGCTACAACGGCTGTGGGTATGGAGTGGTCAGTCTTTTTATTAGGCAGCTGAGGAAAGCCCAGTGGCTTACAGTAGTCAAGATATCCAGGGGATTGTGGATCCTGTAATGTCCTTGACTTGTTTAAAAATACATTGGTGATCAGGATTCAGGCATCAAAAATGACAGTGTCTGGTGCTCAGAGCACCCCCTGAAAGTGACCCTAGGGATGTCTCCCTGGTCACCAGGGCTCTTTTTGGTGCCAGTATGCAGAGATACAGGGAAAAGTGACTGCTACAGGCCTGACTTTTTGCCTCAAAGTGTGTTTTCTGTGTTGCCTTGGATGTTTGTGTTATCGAAAAAGGCTTGTCAGAATTACTGAGTTTGAATAGATGAACCGTTCAACCTCCATTGGTACTTCTTTAGAATAGAGATGTGAAGGATTAAGTGTTTGCCCAGGTGACTGTTAGATGGCCCTGCTACTTTCTCCTAGTCTTCAGCCTGCTTACAGAAACACCCTTTCTTCATATTGTGATGTTATTTACTGATTTAGAAAATAGAATGTCTTGTAGATGCTTTGAATTTTGCTTAACTCCTTCAGTAGTGCCTGTGGCTTGCTGTTTGAAGTGTGCATCTTGAGCTGCACATCCCATGGAACAACCTACATATGTATAAATATGACTTATTTCTAGCTTATTAGTGTTTTCCTCCCCTCTTTCTGTTTTCTGTCCTCTAACTAAGGCTTTTTCGTACTGTCTGAGTGTGTATACATCTTAGTATCTTCCAGACTGCTTTACAAGACCTTTAAGTTCTTGTACATAGCACAACACCACAGCATATGCCTGTGCTAACTTAACAAGGCTGATTTTATTTTTCATTGAACCTTGGCATGCTTTCAAAGGTCGCCCGATCGCTGTCCTGT